TGCTAAAATCACCATTCATGGACTTTATAGAATTCTTTATTCACCATTATGGTATTCCATACACTATTGCTTCTAAGAAACCCACTGAACAGCCAGAGAGGTGTGGCAATGGGCTTACAAACATGGGATTCACTGGTCTTATCATGTTACCCACCATTGTAAAGCAGCTGGCCTGATGGAAGAAATGGCTTTTTGAAGACACAGTTGAAGGCAGCAGCAATGTGAAGGGCTGGGTCAGAGTTCTTGAGAAGGCAGTATATTCTTTGCACCAGTATCCAATATATGGCACCGTTTCTTCCATATCCAGAACCCACAGGTCAAAGAACCAAGAGGTACAAAGGGAAATAGTTTCTCTATCACCCCCAGTGACTTACTAGAAAAGGTCTTTGCTTCCTTTTCCCAAATCCATATGTTCTGCTGGCCTAGAACTGTTAGTTCCTCAATGGGGAGTGTTTCTGCCAGGAGCCACAACAAATATTCCATTGAACTGGAAGCTCAGATGTCCCCCTGAACACTCTGGGCTTCTGATGCTCTTAAGCCAATAGACCAAGAAAAGATTAACAAACAGTGGTAGGAGGGATGAATGATCCAAATACCATGGTGAAATGGGGTTACTTCTACACAACGGAGTTAAGAAAATTTATGTATGGAGTGCAAGAGATCCTTTAGGGCTTCTCTTGGTGCTACTATGACCTGTGATTAAAGTAAATGAGAAACTACAATAGCCTAACACAGGCTCACCAATAAAGGGCACAGAGGCTTCAGGAATTAAGGCATGGGTAACTCCTCCATGAAAAGCGACAAGGCCTTTTGAGGTGCTTACCAAGGGTGAAGGGAATACATAATGTGTAGCAGAGGAGGGTAGTTATATATACCAGCTAAGGCCATATAAACAGTTGCAGAGATAAGAATTAAAATTGACATGAGTTTTTGCTGAGAATGTAATTGTAAAGTTATTTGCATTCTCTTTCCTCAATTTATCATGTGATATAATATCAATTAAGAGACTATCAATGGTTATATCATACTTAAGTTTGAGATAGTAAAAGAATGTTCCTCAAGGGACATTGCTACCTACTCTATATTTACAATGTATTTGTGGTTGAATAAGGTATTTATATCATGTTACATGTAATTTTGACCTGAATAAATACATAATGCATTTGTGATTGTACATGGGAAAATAATATTGTGTATAGGTGTTGTTATGACCTGGTTATTGTTTTCATTTGGTAATTAATCATGAAATGAGATAGGAGTATGTGTGAAGTTGACAAAGGATGTGCTGTAGTGGCTGTTAGTAGTCAATTTGACTACATGTGGAATTAAATAAGACACAAAAATAGAAAACACATCTGTGAGGGGTTTTCGATTAATTTTAAGTGGACAGTTCTACTTCTGGATCTTCGAGGTAGAAAGGATACACTTTTAATCCAGATCGTAAGGCAGGAGAACACATCTTTAATCCAGATCTAATCTGGGCCATACCTTCTGTTGGAAGTCTATATAAACACAAAAGAAAGAAGTTTTTGCTCATTGCTTGCTTGCTCTCACCTAGATACTAAGTTCATTTCTTTGCTGGCATTAGAGCCTATTCCTTTGGGATTCCAGTGTATACAGAAGACAAATTGAGATGTTCATCTCATTAACTAAGTAAGTAATGGATACTTGGACTTTCCACTCATAGACAGCCATTGTTGGATTAGCTGGACCAGAGCCTGTAAGTCATTCGAATACATCCTCTTTCTATATTTATATAGAAGGGTTCATTCTATAAGTTCCATTATTTTAGAACCTCAATACACTAGCCAACAAGCTCTATGGATCTCTAGGTCTTGTCCTCTGCAGAACCAAGATTACTAGAGCAAATCACTATGCTCAGCTTTTTGTTTTAAGATTATAACAAAATTAGAAAACACAGCTTTTACAATGTAGATTCTGTGTTCAAACTCAGGTCTATCTGTGATGGGAGATGTCATTCTGTAAATATGTTTCTCTTATTGGTTAATGAATAAAGCACTATTGGCCAATAGGAAAGCAAGATAGGCGACACTAGGAGACAAGGAGGAGAGAGGAGATCCAAGATGGAGGATGGGGAGAGAAGAACACAAACCCCTCTCTCTGGTAAGATAAGACCATGTGGAAATAGATTAATAGAAATGGGTTAATAATTAAGACAGAGCTAGCTGATAAGAAATTAGTACCTGGCCAACAGCTTTTTATCTAATATAATGTCTCTGTGTGTTATTTTGGGCTGGCTTGGCAGTGGGACCAGACAGGCAGGGAAAAACCTTACTCTTAACACATCTGCTTACAAAATAAGTACTTTATGGACTGAACTATTTTCCTAGCAGTACATTGTTTAAAAATGAAAACAGAAATAAAAAAAAAAAAAGAATATGTAAGGTAAGTGGTAGGGCAAGAAATAGATCATTATAAAACAGAAATCTTTTGAGGAGAGGGGTGCAAGATAGTTCTTGCTCCAATGTTTGCATAGGCTAGGCCAAAACAAACACTCCAGCTACTTAAACACAGAAGTCATTTTTCCCTGTTAGATTGAAAAAAAAAAAAAAAAAAAAAACTTCTAGATTAAAAAGCACATGTACATTTTAACTAGTTTAAAAAAATATTAAGATGAGTGGAGGAGACTCCAGTCTTCCCCCTCCTCCCTCTACCATGAGGCCTGCAGGTCTCTGTGGAGTGGAGATCATGAGTTTCTCTTCCTCAAGATGGTATTTATGAAAGTTGTCAAAAATAAGGCCAACTTTAAGAGATACCAAGTAAGATTCAGAAGGTGGTGAGAGGGTTAAACTGAGTACTATTCTCAGAAATGACTGGTGACCCAGGACAAAAAAAAAAAAAAAAAAAAAAAAAAAAAGCACAACTTATCCACATACAGGATGATAGTTTACATAACTTACAGAGATGTCACCTGCCAGATTGAGTATGCCTGTAAAAGGCAGTATGATAGTCTGTGCAGCAAGCATATGTACATGAACTGCCAAAATATGGTGTTAAAGTTGGCTTGACATATTATGCTGGCTGCAGCCTATTGTACTGGCTTGAGGCAGACCCAAAGGTTTCTCAATAGGTTTGGCATGGAAAAGATATATGAAGGGCCAAATTGAGATGAATGCAATGTGGAAAACATTGACGATCAGCCTGGTATCTTCACTTGCTATTTGGATGCAGGTCTTGCCTGAACTACAACTGACAATAAAGTTTTTCGGGCCCGGAAGGGAGTTGTGGATGGAGGCTTGTCTATCTCCCAAAGTTATGGCTCCTGAAAGCAAGTTCAATGCAGACGGACACCAAAAGCACAGTTTGATTCCGAAGCTTACAGGATACAGGTGGTACCTAATGCAGGAAGATGAAGATGCTTATAAGAAACAGGTCTCTCAGTACAGAAAGGGCATCATAACTCCCGACATGATGGAGGAGATGCATAAGAACGCTAATGCTGCTACCTGAGAGAATCAAGTTTATGAAAAGGCCGAGAGAGAAATGAGAAAGAGGTTGAACCACATGGCCTAGCCCAGAAGATAGAAGACTGAGATACTCAAAAGAGGGCAAGCTCAGGGATGGGCTGCTGAGAGCTAAAGCAATTTTCTATGAAGGTTTTTTTTTTTTTTCATAAAGACAATAAACTTAACGACCAAGCAGCAAATAAATAAAATAAATATTAAGTTGTACACGGCTAAGAGTTTATGACTGAAACTTGCCCCATAAATATTGGATTGGTGGGGAGGCAATATCAAATGTTTTCCAGTCTGATATTTGGGAACCAAAAATTTCTTGGGAAATGGAACCAGCTTTCTTCTCTTACTAGTATTTTCACTTTCTTTCTTACATTCTCTTCCTTCATTTATTATTTTGAGACAGAGTCTCTTTATATAGCTCTGTGCTTCCTAGAATTCCCTGTGTAGACCAGGCTGGCCTCAAAATCAGAGATTCACCTGCCTCTGTCTCCCTGCTGGGATTAACGGGCAGTGTCACCATGCCAAGCCTCTGCCTTATTTCCCACAGTGATATCAAAGAGAAAATTTCAAACCTGAAATTTAATCATTCCTTCCCCACACACTTCTTAGAAAAATCTGTCGGTTTCTAGTCATATGATCAAGGTTCCTAACAAACTACTACACTATGGTGCACATGGCCTGTCAATATTATTGCAGCTTTTCTCACGAACCAATGCGTTCTCTAAGAGTAACTTTGTTTACTAATTGGCTCACGACCATCAAGCAAATTAAGAGAGAAGTAAAAGACGCTACACATGCACAGTTTGGATCAATCTGCGAGGGATATTATTTCTGATCCTTGCGTGGGATCAATTACAAGGGTGTAGACCCCAAATTTGGTGCAAGGGATCAGGTGTTACCTATCGACTAGCAATGTGACTTAATCGATGTCGGTACTCTCCGTCCTGAGCTAGCTAGACAAGCTCTTACACATATTCTAATATTTTCTTCCTGGAGGTCACCCGCGCTGTCTAATAAACCATGGCCAGGACTCATGGCTTCCAGAGTGTATATGCATGCCTACTGATGACGGTGTGTTCTCCTGCTGACACGGCTCATTCTTAGGACGGGGCTACGTCTGTGTTTCACCACTCACTCCCAAATTCTGGAACACACATTGCATTTCCAGAGGGTTCCCCTCAGCCAGCCAGAAGCACTCCTGAAAACCTGGATTAACTTCCCCCGAGAGCGACAGCCTCGTTTCCCTTCATGTGACTGACGAGGTTCGGCTTCTTCCATCAGACTGCCGGCCTCCAACACCGGCGTCTCTCTCGCCCTGGTTATACCACAACGCCGCCTTGACCTCAAACCTGCGCTCTCACTGCTCGCGCTGCCACCTTCGCAGGGAAGCGGAGAGCGGCGGCTGACCATTCTCGCGCGGAGACCAAGTCTCGCGTTGCTTCCCGGGTTCCAGAATCCTTAGCGCGAGGCGGAAAGTCACTTCCCCGAGCCTCGGTGGGCGCCGGAGTTTGCACGGGAGCTCGGGCTGCCGTCCGTCCGCCCCCGGCTGCTTCTGCGCGGAAGATGGCGGTGCCCGAGCCGCCGCTGCCGCTGCCGCGGGGAGGTCCAGGCTCCGCTTCGCTCTCCCCGCCCCGGGGAGACCGCACCCTCCTCGTCAGGCACCTGCCGGCCGAGCTGACGGCCGAGGAGAAGGAGGACTTGCTGAAATACTTCGGGGCGCAGTCGGTGCGCGTCCTGTCAGATAAGGGGCGCCTGGTAAGCGCGCACACTCGCGCGGGGAGGAGGGGGAGACACCGGCCAGCCTGGGCGGGCACCGGGGCCGGCGCTCTGCGCGTGCGCGGCGTGCCTAGCTGGGCGGTGATCACCGCCTTGCGCCAAGCCGCCTTCTGTGCACCCTCCCCGGGAATGCAACAGTCGCTGGAGATGGGCAGGTCTCTGTTAGATTGTTGCAGGCGTGTGAAAAAGGATTTTTTTTTTTTTTAAACCAATCGTTTCACAGAAGTAGAAGTGTGTCTTTGACAGTCATAAAACTTGCCCCAAGTAATCTTTCAGGGAACGGTATGTTGAGTTGAAAGCCCTTGTGGAACGCTCAGTTTTGTTTTGTTTTGTTTCCTTTCCTTTGCGGGAATGTTTGATTTTTTTTTTTTTTAAGTTTGTGCAAGACAGTAGTCTGTGATGGAGCCAGATACCAATGATTTCAAAGTTCCAGGGGACTGTAATTGTATACGCAAAGTTGAGAATTGCTGATTTAGAAGGAAGACCAGCTTGGAACACGTAATTGTGTTATCTATTTCAGCAAATGAAAATAAGAATATTCTCTGGCTTAATCTAAGTGTACTGAGATCATCTTGGGTCAGATTGGACAGCTTTAGACTTATAATAAAGAACTTAAACTTACCAATAATATAATTCCTCTCTCCTTTTCAGGGTTGTTTAAAAAATACTCCCAATTTTAGTTAAAAACTAGACTCATACTGTTGAAACAAATTGCAAAAATAAAGAAGAAAGAGAACATTCAGCTTTAGGGGTGCTTTCACTGTTAACAAATACTTTTACATTTTATCTTGGAATGTACACAATGCAAATTTAAGCTCTTTGGGTGTGATGACAAAGAGGGTATTTCATATGTTTAAATGTTTTAAGATTGATCCGTTTTGAAAAGTTGAGATGTTTTAACTTTTACTTTTAATTGTGCACGTGTGTGTGGGGGGGTGGGTGGGGGGTGGGGGGGCTGTAGTTTAGTGTAGTTGACCTTGCAGGCCAGAGTGGATCTCCTAGAGCTGGAGTTGCCTGATGTAGATATTAGGATCCCAACTGAGGTCCTTGGAAGAACCCTACCCACTTTTACCATGGAGCTATCTCTCTAGCCCCCAAATGTAGATATTTTTAAAGTTGTGGTCTGTTGAACTGTTTGCTTTGTAAAATATATTGTGTTTGTCTTTATCCACTTATGTTCAAAGGCTGAAGAGCTTTCAAGCCAAAGAAGTCTGACCCAAGAAGATTCCAAATTACTAGACTGGAATTTGCACACTAAATAAATAAAACAGTTTAAATAGTCTAAAATTTCCATCCTTTCCTATAATCTTTCTAATATATTAAATTCTATTCAGTTACTTTTTATGAGAAACTTAAATCCTACTTGAAATAATATGTACCTTAATTTTATTTCAGAAACATACAGCATTTGCAACTTTTCCTAATGAAAAGGCAGCAATAAAGGTATGTCTTTCTATTAATATTAAAACTTTCAGAGATTTGTTATTCCATCTTAGGATAGAAGTGGAATGTAATAGTAAAGCAAAATCATTTGTTTCAAGAATTTCTCCAAAAGGTTACAGTTGGCTTGGCAGAGGTTTGAGCTTGTCCAGTGCTTAGATACTGAAATGTAAGAGTCGTAGATTTTTCAGCAAGGTAAGGGTAACATTATGTATAACTTTTTTAGAGAAATTCTAAAGGATATTAGATACATATCTCTAGTGTTTATGGTACTTTTATAATAAAAGATAAAAACATAAGGAATAATTTGTAAAAGCTATCATGTTTGAGTGAGGATTCAAATGAGTCGTTTAATTTTGAGAAGAAAACAGAAGAATTTGCCCTTTTAGGCTTAGGAAACAGTAACATTGGACATGGAATATTATAGTCAGGAAGGAGCTAAAGGCAGTGTTAGAAATAGGACTGAAAAGTTGAGCCTATATTTACGTAAAAGAGAGGTATTGAATTTTGCTTAGTAAGTACCTAAAAGAATACTTTTGAGAAGGCTAAAAATAAGGTTAGATCCATGAAAAATATCTGGTAGGGTTGATACTTAGTGGACTGGATGTAGAGAAAACTGAAGATAGGCAGACGATATGGGAAGCTACGTTAGAGGCATAGGCAAGAGTGTGAATCTGAAGAGGGCAATAAGAAAATAAAGGGAGAGAAGTAGACGTACATGTATACTTTGGAGAGAAGTTGTTTATGGGTCTTAGATTACAGAAGTAATTCAGTATAGTGTTACATAACATACATAGGGTCTTGAGTTGCAATCCCAATTCTGCAGAAATAAAGTGTAGGTCTTAGTGGTATGTGATTTGAGAACAAAAGAGTAGTTCGGAATCTTAACTCTTTTTTTACATTTTTATTTATTTTTATGTATTTGCATATTTGCCACTCCACACATGAGGAGTTTAGAGGATAGGAGTTGGTTTCTCCTTCCACGGTGTATGACTCACAGTTAGAACTTAGGTTATCAGTCTTGACAGCAAGTACCTTGACCCAGCTGAGCTATCTTTCCAGCTCATGGTCAAGATCTTTACACCAATTAGCTTATTTGTCAAAGGAATATGAGGGTCTTTGCACAGACATGTAATGAATTCTTATGTTAGCTGTTAATTTTGAGTAGTCTTTGGAGTGCTTCTGTGGAAATCCTGAGCACTTTAAAATATTTCCTTGAGCTGAGCAAGGTTGAGAAAGTGTCTTCAAATATGTAAATGACTGAGATGGTCCAATGGAAGATTAATGAAATCAAAACAAACCAACCTAGAAAAATGTGTTCTAAAAAAAGAAAGGAAAATAAAGGAACTACCAAACTGAAAAACATGCCATATTGATGCAAAAAAAGAAATTAGGGAGAAAGTCTATGATGAGCCATACTAAAAAATGAGCATAGTCTTACTAATCAGGGTCTGTTTTAGAAATAGGATCTCACAGTGTAATTCTGATTGGCCTGTGTAGACCAGGCTAGGCTTGCATCCAACTCCAAGACCTACCTTGCCACTGCCTATGTGTCTGCCTTCTAAATTTTGGGATTAAACCACCCCCTGCCCATACCCTTCATAAAACAGGAAAAAAGTAGAAATGATGTTTATTTTTCATAAAATAGGGGAAAAATAGAAATAGCCCAAACCTTCATCAAGGGAGAATACTGTAACTTTAAAGATATGGATCATCATTAATGTTAAATGATGGAAAACTTGAATGTTCTGACCTTTGACATGCTGTCACAAGTGAAAAGTTTTATGCCATATCTCAGCTAACAGGCCACAGTCAAACTGCATACGTTAAAAATAGTGTATATTTCTTCATTCTAAGTGTATCATGGATAACACAAGTGAATGCCATGTTTAGACTTATATGTTACCCCATGATGCTTGATTATGACTGCAAGTATTTAAAACATGAAAGAACCCCTAAATCTGAATTCAGATGCCAGACTTATCAGATAAGAAATATTAAACTTGTTTGCATCCATCTTTTCAACTGTGATTGAATGACTTCATATGATTATTATTAAGGCAAGTATAGTTCATGTACTTGAAGGAACATGTAAAACATAAGGTAAATAAATAACACTCCCAGTGTAGCAAGTGTTCTCTGTACTGCCAGGTCCTGAATAATGACCTGGAGACTTAGTATTAATTGTGAAAGCTTGGTCTTAGCTAACACTTGTCCTACTAGCTCTCTTAAATTAATTAAATTTTAATCTATGTTCTGTTATGTGGCTTGTTACCACATCTCTCTGTACTGCTAATGTTGCTTTATCCCTGTCTGGCTTGCTACTCATCTTTCTTCTCCTAGTTCTCTCTGTCCCCAGAAGTTCACCTAACCTCTTCTTGCCTAGCTCTTGGCCATTCAGCTCTTTGTTGATTCAATACACAGTGTAAAGCAATAGTCAGCAACATCCCCTCATGTCCAGAGCAGTGGTTCTCAGTCTATAGGTTGCAACCCCTTTGAAGTCAGATATCAGATAGTCTACATATCAGGTATACATTACAATTCATAACAGTAGCAAATTTATAGTTATGAAGTAGCAATAAAATAATTTTATGGTTGGGCCAGAATAACATGAGCAAACATATTAAAGAGTCTCAGCATTAGGAAGGTTGAGAGCCCTTGGTCCAAAGTAGCTAAAGAAAGACAAGATGATAGAGGATGGAATTTAGTAAGTCTAACAGCTGGATTTAGAGTAGGTGGACAGTTAATTTTTGATCCAGATGCATAGTGGGTTGTAAGGATGCAAATGCTAGGGATAGGGAGTTACAGTCCACAGTTCTCATTTAGTCTCCTCATTTGTCTCAAAGTAGGAAGGAAGGTGTTATGCTAAGTGAATAAGAGAAGTAACTGTGAAGTTACATATGAAGGAAAACATACAAAATTTTCTCTTAGAGATTAGTACAATTTATACCGAGATTGTGATAAGTAATGGTCTGGTGTCAGTAAGGGTCACCTTGAGATTTTTATGGTTGGAATTTAGTGTGTGACCAGAAGATTTTGTGTGTTTGTTTGTTTGTTTTTTGTAGCTATATTCAGCTTAGGTATAAGCGGTTAACAGAATATTGGAGTCAGATTTTATTTTATTAAATTATAGTAGTTTAAGAAGTAATAATAAAATACCCTGAAAAGGAAATATGTATAATATTAATAATAAAAAATAGAAATTTTGTTCAATTAAGATGACTTAACAGGTGATTTGGTTTTTTATTATATTTTTTTTTTATTGCTGAACCTAAAGGCATTGGCAAGACTCCATCAGCTGAAACTTCTAGGTCATACTTTAGTTGTTGAATTTGCCAGAGAGCAAGATCGAATTCATTCCCCATGTCCCACCTCAAATACAGAGAAAAAGAAAAGGTATGTAGATGTTCATGTTTTTCTACCATTTTGAAAAGTGCCTGTGTGTGTGTTCGATTATTTTTATAGTTATTGCATTGTTAACAAAATAAATTGAAAGTATGATAAAATGTAGTTCTAGTAAATCTGAAAGTAAAGGAGTGTTTCTGTTTTGAGTTGTGCTGAGGACTGAACCCTGAAAGATAACAAATGTGTAGTACAAATTTTTTTTTTTTGGTCTTGAGTTAGCTTCCGGGGTGAAAGCTGAGTGATCAGAGAAGCAGAGTGGCCAGCCACTCTACCAATGCTCAGACTTAAGGGGTGATCCTGCCCTCAGACAACTTCCTCACATTGCATTTCAGACTGCCTGTTCCTCAGACTGCTTCAGACTGATTGCTGCTCAGGCTGCCTGCCTCTGACTTCATTTCTCTCTTGTTTCCTCCTGCCTTACATTCCTCTCTCCACCCAGCCATATTCTCCTCTCTCCACCTCCCTGGTGCTGGGATTAAAGGGCGTGTTGTGATCCCAAGTGCTGGGTTCACCTTTGTGGGAGATCTGTTTGCCTGTCGTTTAGACAGAGTCAATCATGTGTAACCCAGGGTGGTCTTGAATTCACAGAGATCCTTCTTCTGCTTCTGAGATTAAAGGCATATGCTACCACTGCCTGGTCTCTATGGCTAACTAGTGTGGCTAGCTCTGTACTCTGATCCTCATGCAAGCTTTATTTGTTAGATCATAAGCAAAATATCACCACACAAATTAAAGTGGGTAGATGGGGTGGATGGCGTTCTACTTTTAGTGGAAGAAGTGCATCTACAGGTTAATTAAAATGATAAAGAGAAGAAAGAGCATGCCTTTTTAACAATAGAAAAAAATTGGAATTGCAACAAATCATGGATTTGCATTTTTTGTTATTTTTTTTATTATTCTGCCTTTGTTGTCCTCTGTGTGTGTATGTGTGCGTGCGTGCGCTACAGGCTAACTACCCAAAATGTTTGGGATAAATAGTATTTCATTTGGAATACTTATGTGTACATGATTAATTATCTTTGAAGTGTTATCCCAAGTCTTAACATAGAATTCATTTGATTTATATCTGCCTTGTATGTGTTGCCTGAAGGTGTTTTATATAATATTTTTAGTGTGTCTCAGTTTCGTGATCTGTTCCATGAGGTTACCAGTAGAATTTTCTAATTTGTAACATGTTGCAAATATCAATAGATACCAGATTTCAACCTATAGGAATAACACTCTATTAGACATAACAGGGCATACAGAATTGGCATGGCTTTTTTGTTGACTTCTCATCTGCACATTTGGACCCTCTCTCTCTGCATATCTGGGTGTGGGTCTCTGCATCTGTTCCTATCGGCTGCTGGAGGAAGTCTTTCAGGTGATGACTGGATAAGGCTCTGATCTATTAGTATGGCAGGATATTATCACATTTTAAGGCTTTTTAAAATTGTTTTTTAAGACCAACAGATCTCTGGGTTAGCTAGTCTCTAGTTCAGTTATGCAAGCAGTGTCAGGGTAAGGGTCCCCTGAGCAGGTCTCAGGTAAAATCACACATGCTTGGCTACTCCCATGATTTCTGTGCTATCATTGCCCTAGCATATGTTGCATGCAGGACAGATCGTTGTGTCAAAGGATTTGTAACTAGGTTGGTGTCCATGTTTCTTTTTCTGTAGCCTGCAGAGTACCTCGCTGCACCAAAGACACTAGAATATAGGGGTGAAGGTTCCATGTAGGCTCCAGCTCAACTTCACCCCTCATTGTTCATTGTGTGGGTGTTGTCCTTGACATTGGGGGTCCCACTGTGGATTTGTGGAGAGCAACTCTTTGTCTTATTGATAGCCCGGGATGTTTGCCAATTTCTATAGGACCCAGTTGGCCAACAAGTCAATTGATTGTAACCCAGTCCCTCAGCTGGAAGCCTCATTTGGTGATGAGATGGACAGTTGAAACTTCATATCCCTCATTACTAGCTGGTCCTCATTAGAATACATACATTCCAGAAAGTTTGGCTGCACTAGGTTTCACAGTACTCCACAATGTTCCCTCAGTTCCAACTATCTGTCCATAAACTCTCCTCTCATCTCTCCTCTAACCTGATTCTTCTACTCCAGTCCCCAGTTGCCCTCAGTCTCATCGAATTCCTACTCTCAGAGCTCAGGAAATCATGCAGAAGAGGAGATGGGAAATTGTTAAGAGCCAAGGGGGACATAAAGGAGGACACAGCCCACAGAATAAATTAAGCAGGACTCAAGTAGCAATCATGGAGTCTGCAAGGGTTTGTGTTTGGTTCTGTGCATATAATGTTATGGTTGTTAGCTTGGTGTTCTTGTGAGACTCCTAACAGTGGGTGTGGAGGTATCGCTGACTCTTTCATTTTTGCTCTTGAGTTCTTTTCCTCCTACTGGGCTGCCATGTCCAACTTCTGCATAATAGTTTTTCCTTCATGCTTATTATATTCTGTCATGTTTGTTCATTATCTCTTAGAAGCCTGTTCTTTTCTAATAAGAGACAGAAAGGGAGCAGATCCAAAGGGGGAGGGGAAGTGGGGAGGAACTGGGAGGAATAGAAGGAGGGAAAACTATAATTAGGATATATTGTATGAGGAAAAAAAATCTGTTTTCAAGAAGACAGGGAAAAAAACCCGACAGCAGTATTTTAGTTTGAAGCCTAGCCTTTGCAGAGTTTCATTACACTAGTTGACCTCGGTGTAATACCCAAACTACCTTCATCATCCAGGAACTTGGCTGAATTATATAGCATCAAGTAAGACCCAATCTTACTAGAATCAGAAATTTAACAGATGAAGGTGAAAGAAGTAAGGCCCTGTATTTTTGTGTATAGATGACCATTAAAAAGATTTGAGTTTTTCAGTACCTATGTAATATATTGAATTTTAGTTTTCTAGGGATCATTTGGAATTGCCATACCATATTCATAAACTGGCTGTGAAATCTTAGTGTAGGGATTAATTAGAGATTTATTATGTGTTTTTTTTTTCCTCAGTGGTGCTTGTGTTAGAGGTTCTTTCTTATGAAATTGATTTCATGATGATGTATTTGAAGCAATTTTTCTTTTCTGTATACAATTTCTCACTTTCAAAGATAATAATATTCATTTTTCTGTATGTTTTAGGTCAGATGACAATGTGGAAGATGATAAAGAGAAGAAAGAACCTGACTTTTTAACAATAGAAAGTGGAATTGCACCAAATCATGGGTTTGCGTTTTTGTTGTTGTTGATTATTCTGCCTTTGTTTGTTGTGTGTGTTATACTTAACATATTTTAAGTAAGGTAGTTTTTAGAGTCAGCTTTTTAATATGTCATGCATAACTTAATATCTTGAATAAAAGTTTTGAGATATGAGTCTTTTTCCACTGAATTTAAATAAGTCTGTTAAAGTGTTCAGGTCTACAAGTAACTAAGATAAGAAATACTTATATTATCTTTAGAATAATAGGGATATTAAGGAATAAGATAAATACATGAGTAATATCATTTTGGCAGTTTTGTGTGTTAATAGATTATCTAAACTGAGTCACTGAAGGAATTATTAAAATGTAATAAGCCTATTCCTTAATTCATTTTGTTTCGTAGGCTGACTTTTCCTCTAAATTCATGCCTCAAATATATGTACCCACCACCTTCAAGCACAATCCTTGCAAATATAGTAAATGCCTTGGCAAGTGTGCCCAAATTCTATGTACAGGTATGCATAATCAACTTAACTTTTGCTTACGTTATGAGGTTTATAACTTGGTACTTTAGATACTGTGCTGATGGTGACTCTTCTAACATTTTTTTTTTTTAACATAGGAAACTTACTGATCCCAGACAGACTCTATGTAGAGTTTTAAATGTAATGAATTGTCACATGCTACTCAAATAATAACTTTATAAATACCATGAATGGATACTAATGAGTGCTACATTGGAAGATATAATTTGTTGTAACTGTTACTTAAATGTATCATTGACTTACAGAAATCCTTAAAGAAAAGATACTGGTTCAGCAGATGGTTTAAGAACTTCTGTATTGTAGAATATAGATGGTGTACATTTTCTGTTTTCTTTCTTTCATAGTCTTACAGTAAATAAGGACAATTATATGAGAACATTTTCAGTAACTGTTTACATTGCAAGACCATTATATTAGTAATAGGAATTAAAAATCAATGTGTTTGTAGAAATGACAATTCATGTAAGAGGATTAAGTTTCTGAGATATACTCATGTCTTGTTTTTTCTTGGTATAAGAACTACGAAGACCAGAGAGTGACTTTAGTTTTTACTACATTAATCAAGAGTGTTTTTACATGCTGGGTGTAGTAGTACAGACCTTAAATTCTAGCACTCAAAGGGCAGAGGCAGGAGGATTTCTGAGTCAAGATCAGCCTGCTCTATGTAGTGAGACTGTCAAAACAAAAGAATGCTTTTCCAAATTTTTTTTTAATTATATAAAATACATGACATTAACCATGACTTCAATTCTATGTGACTGTTAAATATTTTGAAACTTTAAGGTGCTTCATCTTATGAATAAAATGAATTTGCCCACACCATTTGGACCTATTACTGCACGACCCCCAATGGTAAGAAGTTTTTAGAATTTTTAGGAACCACACATTTTTTCCTAAGTAGTAAGTTTTACCAGTTTGTAACAACTGTCAATATATTAATAGTAAAGTTGAGAACTGAGAATGGAAAAGAGATAAGAATTAACTTTCAAAATTTCTCCCAGTTTCCCTCCTTTGATTCTAAATAGTATATTATCCTGAAAATATAATTGTGTTCAGTTGAATTATCTAAAAATTCATTGTTGTGGTTTTAATTCAGATTAAACAGCTAACTTTATTTGGAAAGAATAAGTAAGTTTGCTAAAAGTTGTTCAATAATTTACATGGTAGGCTTTCAGCTCTTCAGGTTTTTTCGCTGTGGTATTGTATATTTATCAGTAATATTAAGGCAAAATTATTTTGGCTTTTATCATACAGATAAAAGTTTTCTTTGGAGTTGGCTACTATTCTGTTGTATGAAAAAAAGTTAGTTTTCTAACTTTTTATTGTAATACTACTGTGTATTTGTTGCTTAGAAATTTATTAAGGTAATATTAGATACTATTAATATAGCAAATTATCTTGTCATAGCTATTCCATTTCAAATAATAGGTAAGGAGGGATGTTTTGAGTCATTCATAAGAAACAAGTTGTTTTCATTATGTGTCTCTTCATGCTGACTAGGACATACTGTGATCAGAAACAAAGGGAGGATTACATGTAGACATGTAATGATCTTTTTTTTATTTTATTATTATTTTTTTTATTTTGCATGTCGATCCCAGTTCCCTCTCCCTCCCTCCCTTTTACTCTCTCTTCCCCCTCACATGTAGGGCAATGCCATTCAGGTGGGGTCATGTAAATCTGTCAAGTCATTTGAAGGAGGGACTAGGACTTCTCTCCTGTCTCTAGGTCAAGGGAGCGTCCCTCCATGGGGGACTGTGTCTGCAAGGTCCTTTTGTGCACCAGGAATACATCGTGGTTCCACTGTTTGAGGTCCCTTAGACTGTTCAGTCCTTCTAGCTGAGACCCATGTTCAGGGGATCTGAGTCAGTCCCATGCTGGATTCCCAGCTATCAGTCTGGGGGGCCCATTATCTCCTTCTTGTTCAGGTCAGCTGTCTCTATGTGTTTCTGCTACCTGGCCTTGTCCTCTATCTCTGCATCTGGATTCTAATTTGACTCAGTGTCCAGTTATGGGTGTCAGCCTCTGCCTGCAACAGGTACTAGATGAAGGCTCCATGATGGTGGATAAGTTAGTCATTGATCTCACTATAAGGGAAGAGCATTCATGGTAGCCTTTCCACAGTTGCTCAAATTGTTAGTTGGAGTCAGTCTTGTAGGTCTCTAGACCTCTCCCTAGGTTCAGTTTTCTCTTCAAGCCAACAATGGCAACCTCTTTTATGTTCTCTCTCTCTCTCTCTCTCTCTCTCTCTCTGTCTCAGTCTCTCTCTCTGTCTCTGTCTCAGTCTCTCTCTCTGTCTCTTATTCCATGAGATAATTTGCATGGTGAACTATAAAGGCGTATTTCCAAATTTTTATATTTAGATGTCTAGAGATATAGAAAACAAAACAGTTACCGTCTAGCAGTCTGCCATTGCAGATGTTCCATTGGTGTATATTGAATGTATCAAAGAAGAGAAAGAGAATCAAGTATTGATGTGGAATAAGATTCTTTTGATGAGAAATCAATAGTTTATGCAAAATAGTTTGTCTATTCTGTAAATATCATTAGTTCCTATAGTATTTGTTTTGTTCTTTCTAATAGTATGAGGACTATATGCCACTGCATGCACCCCTTCCACCTACGTCACCTCAGCCACCTGAGGAACCTCCCTTACCAGATGAGGATGAGGATTTATCTAGTAATGAATCAGAGTATGAAAGCAGTGATGAGGAGGACCGACAGAGGTAAGTGATATGCCATATTTTTTTCTAAAAATAAGAATGTGAAAAAGCTATGCTCTTCCTATATGTCACATACAATTTAATCCCAAATCCCCTCAAGATCTTGAGCGTATACAGAAGCTTAGTGGATAATAGGGTCTTTGGAAAAAATTTTGGATCAAGAATAATTTTTTACATTGACAAATTTAGTATTACAGAATACAATAGAGCCTCATTATTTATGGTTTCATATTTGTTATTTTGCTTGTTAAAATTTTTGTAGCTCCAAAATTACCTTTTTTTCTTCTTTTTTTTAATTGCTTGTTTTTCATATATACTATATATACTATATATATATAACCAAGTCCATTTAAATGAAAACAAACATTTATAGACAATGTTTGGGAATTTGGGGGTCGTTCTTTCCAAACTACTTCCTCTGGTAAGGGGCCCTGTCATGGGGGATTCTAAGAAGATGCAGGAATCCTGGCTGTAGTCCATAATGTAACGAGTAACATTTTTCCACCCGCCGCCAGTCTTTTCCCACCGCGCCAGCCCCAAAAAATGCACAGAGACTCTGTATTTGATACAATGCTATTGGCCAGGTGCTAGTTTCTTATCGGCTAGCTCTGTCTTAATTATTAACCCATTTCTATGTATTTCCACGTGGTCTTACCGAGAGCAAAGGAATGGCAGTTCTGTTCTCTCCAGGCTCTCCATGCTGACCCCCTCCTTTCTACTTCCTATTTCCTCTTTGTCACCTAGTCCCTCCTATCTTCCTTTCCTATTGGCCAACAATGCTTTATTATTAACCAGTATGAGAAACATATATACAGAATGACATCTCCCATCACCTTAAGGCTGCTTTGTCCAGCTGTTTTGAATGTAGAATCACCTGGTACTCTGTCAGGCGGTCTGGCTTGATCAAACCACATTAGTCTGGAAGGAATCCACAGCTTTTCCTTTTCTGTGGAAACAAAAATAGAAATCCTTTTCCCCAGTAACTTGTCCTTGAACTTAAATTTTGGAGTCAGAGCATTTTTTTTTTATTATTTTACATGTGGATCCCAATTCCCCCTCTCTCCCTCCCTCCCTTTTTCCTTCACTCCAATCCTCCCTCCTTCCCTCCCTTTTACCCTCTCTGCCCTCTCACATGCACTCTAACCACCCTCCCCTCCCATCCCCCCACCCCAGTTCCATATGCCATCCAGTTGGGGTCATGTTGGTCTGACAGGTCATGTGAAGTAGGGACTAGGGCTTCTCTCCTGTCTCTAGATTACAATTATCCCTCCATGGGGGATGTGTTCGCAAAGTCCTTTTGTGCACCAGGGATACATTCTGGCTCCACTGTCTGAGGTCCCTTAGACTGCTCAATCCTTCTGGCTGAGACCCATATTCAGGGGGGCCTGAGTCAGTCCCATGCTGGCTTCCCAGCTATCAGTCTGGTGGCCCGTTAGTTCCTCCTTGTTCAGTTAAGCTGTCTCTATGTGTTTCTGCCACCTGCCCTTGTCCACTCCATCTGCATCTGGGTTCTACTTTGACTCAGTGTTTAAGTATGGGTGTTTGCTCCTGTTTCCAACAGGTATTAGATGAGGGATCCATGGATAAGTTAGTTGCTGATCTCACTCTTCAGGAAGGACATTTATGGTAGCCTTTCCATGGAAGCTCAAATTGTTAGTTGGCAGCAGCCTTGTAGTTCTCTGGATCTTTCTTTGTGATCAGTTGTATCTTCAAACCAATATTGGCTCCCTCTTTTATGTGTTCTCTCTCTCTCTCTCTCTCTCTCTCTCTCTCTCTCTCTCTTTCTTGTCTTCTATTCCTAATGGGGCTCAATCTTCTTGGTCACACGTGTTTTCCTATCCTCTCCCTCGTTTCTTCTACTTCTCTCTCCATTCGCTGCCCCCCCCCCCACTTACTCTGTGCTCTGGGGGACTTGTCCCTTCCCAGTTCTGGAGTGACTTTATATGAATCTCTTAGAACACATCTTGTATCCTAGTTGCTCTGGTGGTGTGAATTATAGGCTGGTGATCCTTTGCTCTAGGTCTAAAATCTATATATGAGTGAGTACATACTGTCTTCCTCTGTTTGTGACTGGGTTACCTCATTCAGGATGGTTTCTTCAAGTGCCATCTACTTTCCTGGGAATTTCAAGATACCATTATTTTTTTCTGCAGAGTAGTATTCCATTGTGTAGATGTGCCACATCTTCATTAACCATTCTTCAGTTGAGGGGCATCTAGGTTGCTTCCAGGTTCTTGCTATTACAAATAGTGCTGCTATGAACATAGTTGAACAGATTTCTTTGCATGGATGTGGATCATTTGGGTATATGCCTAAGAGGGGGATTGCCAGGTCCTGTGGTAAACTAATTCCCATTATCCTGAGGAACCACCATACTGATCTCCGAAATGGCTGTATGACTTTGGACTCCCACCAGCATTGGAGGAGTGTTCCCCTTTCTCCACATCCTCTCCAACATGAGTCATCATTGGTGTTTCTAATTTTAGCCATTCTGCCAGGAGTAAGATGGTATCTCAAAGTTGTTTTGATTTGCATTTCCCTGATAGCTAAGGATGTGGAGCACTTTCTTAAGTGTCTTTCAGCCTTTTTGATTTCCTCTATTGAGAATTCTTTCTTCAGTTCTGTACCCCATTTTTTAATAGGGTTCTTTGGTGTTTTGTTGGCTAGTTTCTTGATTTCTTTGTATATTTTGGAGATCAGCTCTTTGTTGGGTATAGGATTAGTGAAAATCTCTTCCCAGTCTGTGGGCTGCCGTTTGGTCTTGTCTACTGTGTCCTTTGCCTTACAGAAGCTTCTAAGTCTGAAAAGGTCCCAGTTATTAATTGTTTCTCTCAGTGTCTGTGCCTCTGGAGTTATGTTCAAGAAGTGGTCTCCTATACCAATTTGTTCAAGGGTACCTCCTACTTTCTCTTCTAAGAGGTTCAATGTGGCTGGATTGATGTTGAGGTCTTTGATTCATTTGTACTTGAGTTTTGTGCATGGCGACAGACATGGGTCTATCTGCAGTCTTCTACACACCCTTTTCCAATTGTGCCAGCATCATTTATTGAAGATGCTGTCCTCGCCCCATTGTATTCTTTTAGCTGTTTTGTCGATGATCAGGTGTTCATAGGTGTGTGGGTTAATATAAGGATTTTCAGTTCGATTCCATTGGTCTACCTGTCTATTTTTGTGCCAATACCAAGCTGTTTTCAGAACTATAGCTCTGTAGTAGAGCTTAAAGTCAGAAATGGTGATGCCTCCTGAAGTTCTTTTATTGTATAGGGTTGTTTTGGCTATCCTGGGTCTTTTGTTTTTCCATGTAAAGTTGCTTATTATCCTTTCAAGGTCAGTGAATAATTGTGGTGGGATTTTAATGGGGATTGCACTGAATCTGTAGATTGGTTTTTGTAAGATTGCCATGTTTATCCTACCTATCCAAGAGCATGGGAGATCTTTCCATTTTTTGGTATCTTCTTTAATTTCTTTCTTTCGAGTCACAAAGTTCTTATTATATAGGTCTTTTACTTGTTTGGTAATCGTTACACCAAGATACTTTATGTTGCTTATGGCTATTGTAAAGGGTGATGTTTCTCCGATTTCTTTCTCTGTCTCTTTGTCGTCTGAAAAAAGTAGGGCTACTGATTTTATTGAGTTTATCTTGTATCCTGCTAGTTTGCTGAAGGTGTTTTTCAGCTGTAGGAGTTCACTGGTAGAGTTTATTGGGTCACTTATGTAAACTATCATATCATCTGCAAATAGAGACAGTTTGACTTCTTCCTTTCCAATTTGGATGCCCTTGATCTCCTTTTGTTGTCTTATAGCATTAGTTAGAACTTCTAGTACGATATTGAAGAGATATGGAGAGAGAGGACAGCCTTGTCTTGTTCCTGATTTTAGAGGAATTGGCTTATGTTTCTCTCCAGTTTGATGTAGGCAGTTGGTTTGCTATATATTGCTGTTATTATGTTTAGGTATGCTCCTGTTATCCCTGACTTCTCCAAGACCTTTATCATGAAAGGGTGTTGAATTTTGTCGAAGGCTTTTTCCGCATCTAGGGAGATGATCATGTGGTTTTTCTTTTTCAGTTTGTTTATATGGTGGATCATGTTGATAGATTTTCGTATGTTAAACCATCCCTGCATTCCAGGGATGAAGCCTACTTGGTCATGGTGGATGATTTCTCTGATGTTTTCTTGAATTCGGTTTGCCAGTATTTTATTGAGTATTTTTGCATCGATGTTCATCAGGAATATTGTTCTGTAGTTTTCTTTCTTTGTTTTGTCTTTGTGAGTCTTGGGTACCAAGGTTATTGTGGCCTCATAAAAAGAGTTTGGCAATGAACCTTCCGTTTCTATCTTGTGGAACAGTTTGTGGAGTAGTGGTGTTAGTTCTTTCTTGAATGTCTGGTAGAATTCTGCACTGAATCCGTCTGGCCCTGGACTTTTTTTCGTTGGAAGGCTTTCCATGACTGCTTCTATTTCATTGCGGGTTATAGGTCTATTTATATTGTTTGTCTGTTCTTGATTTAATTTTGGTAAGTGATAGTTATCCAGAAATTTGTCCATTTCCTTTGAAAATATTTTGGATTTCCTCTGCGTCTCTTGTTATGTTCCCCTTTTCATTTCTGATTTTGTTAATTTGCATGTTCTGTCTCTGCTTTTTCGTTAATTGGGTAAAGGTTTATCTATCTTGTTGATTTCTCTCAAAAAACCAACTCTTCCTTCCATTGATTTTTTTTTTTTTTTTTTTTTTTTTTTTGTATTGTTTTCCTGGTTTCTATTTTGTTGATTTCAGCCCTCAAGTTGATTATTTCCTGGCATCTACTGCTATGGGGTTAGTTCGCTTCTCTCTGTTCTAAGGCTTTCAGTTGAGCTGTTAATTCTCTTATGTGACTATCCTCTGTTTTCTTTACATGGGCACTTAGTGCAATGAACTTCCCTCGTAGCACTGCTTTCTAGGTGTCCCTTAAGTTATGGTATGTTGTGTCCTCATTCTCCTTGAATATTAGAAAGTCCTTAATTTCTTTATTTCTTCTTTGACCCAGGAGTGGTACAATTGCACATTGTTCAGTTTCCATTAGTTTGCAGGTTTTCTGCTATTTGTGTTGTTGTTGAATTCCAATTTTAAAGCATGGTGGTCTGATAAGATACAAGGGACTATTCCTATTCTCTTGTATCTGTTGTGGTTTGTTATGTCTCCGAAGTAGGGTGGACTGTTGGCTCCACCCTCTGTCCCAGTGCTCAACCAGAGCGGCAGGACAGTTGGCAGGGTAGGGCACAGAGTGGGGGGGGGCAGGTTCTTGATGGGGATGGGTGGGGGTGTCTTAGAGCTCCAAGGGTGCTCTGGATGGGGACAGGACACAGGAGCAGTAGGATCAGGGGCCAACCCAGGGAGTATGGAGGGGGGGGTGTTTGTAGGGGACAGGCAGCCCCAATTGGGCCCAGACTCACCTCTGGCCAATAGCTGGTGGAAGAGGACAAAGGCTGAGCTGAAACTTGGGAAGTTTTTGCAGGATAGTGGGATCTCACTGGAAACTGGGACTCTCTAGTTGAGGCCTCTTTCTTTTGCATAGCCCCTGCTTTGTGGGTCAAGGTCTTGCCCGCAGGAACTCCGAGTAGACCCACAGATATAGATGGATCTCTGGGCGGGGTCCGAGACTCCAGCAGAGTCTGGCGGTGGGGTCAGAGACCAAGCAGGTGGAAATTACGGGTGGTCCCGTGTGGATAGGCAGGTCTCTTTTGTCAGAGTTGCTCAGAGAAGTCTCCGAAGTAGGTCTTGTTTTAGAAGGTTGGTATATTTTGGGTAGATAATTTTAATACAGGCATGTAGTTTGAGTATTCAAATGTTTGTATTTTTAATAACATTTTTATTGTGTGGCTTGGTGAATTCTAGTATCAGTCCCACTCTTTATCCCAGCTGAGAGGAATTAACTATAGACCAGGTCAACTCAAATCTTGCTTCCTCTGCTCCCTGGGTGCTGGATTACAAGTGTGTGCTATCATGCTCATCTTTTTAATACAAGTTTTTATGAGACTTGATTGTTGTAAAGTTTCCTATTATGTAATATATGCTTATACTTCCACCTGTTTATTGGGGAAAACAAAGCCTAAAGTTTTTAGCCACATACACCTTTCTATATAATGTAATGTATGTGCATATTTATTTTGCATTCAAGTTTCAGATGAAGCCCTGAGAGATTTGTACCTAGTTGTTGTTAATTGCTCCTTTGTGACAAGCCCAGATTCATAATGGAAGAATGTTGTATATGAGATGCCAGTTGTCAGTTTGTAATTGTTACATGTAAGCAACTTTAGTATTTGGAAATGTTTTTCTTCAGATAATTGTGAAAGAGAAATTAATAAACATGGTGATGCTGATGAGGTAATGAGAGAAATAGTGATCAGAATAAAGAACTGTCTGAGCATCTAGGCATGCACAAAGAATTTATGGAATACCATGGGACACATCATTCAGATTCCCTAGGAAAATAGGTGAATAAGACAGAATGCCTACAAAGTACTAAAAAGTAGAAAGGAAAAATGTCCTGGATTTTTGTTATACAAAAATCAATAATAAAACTCAGGCAGGCTCTCTAGTGACTTTGTGTAAATATATAAAAACACGTTTTTATTCATTATATAAATATTATAGAAAGGAAAAAAATTATTAGAAATATAAATCAATATAGAAACATTTATTTGTTTGTTTGTTTGTTTATTTATTTATTTATTTATTTTGGTTTTTTGGAGACAGGGTTTCTGTATAGCTTTGGAGGCTGTCCTGGAACTAGCTTATGTAGACTAGGCTGGTCTCGAACTCACGGAGTTCCGCCTGCCCCTGCCTCCCAGAGTTCTGGGATTTAAAGGTGTCTGCCACCATGGCCCAGCTCAAGAAACATTCTTAAAGGTTTATTGTAAGAAGTACGGTTTTTTCAGCCCCTTGTCCTGCCGCCGCGCCAGCCCCAAATAACACACAGAGACTCTGTATTTGATATTATACTGTTGGCCAGTTACTACTTTCTTATCGTCTAGCTCTGTCTTAAGTATTAACCCATTTGTGTTAATCTATGCATTTCCACGTGGTCTTCTTACCCGGAGCCAGCTGTTGCGTACTGCTCTCTCCAGACTCTCCATCTTGACTTCTCACTTACAACTCCTATTTCCTCCTTGTCTCCTAGTCCCTCCTATCTTCCTTTCCTATTGGCCAACAGTGCTTTATTCATTAACCAGTATGAGAAACATATATACATAATGGCATCTCCCATCAGTTTATTATAATTTAGTATTTAGAAACTTTTTTCCTCAAGTACTCACTTTGTTTACATAATATTTATTAGTAATAAATATGTATACCATACTTTTAAAAGAAATACTTTCTTTAGTAATTAAAAGCCAAAAATAATAGAATGTATTTGTATATTTATTTTATTATTTTTCAGTTTCAATCTCATTTTATTTGGATATCTGATACTCAGAATAAAAAGTTTTAAATTGATAATATAAAATCAGGCAAATAAGATTTAAATGGTACAGGTCAATTTAGTATGTGAATTTTTGTCTATGCGTATTGGTGGCATAAAAGTTATCCTAATTAGTTTTAAATATATTTTGTTTTAAGGATATATAGAATATCAACTATTTCTTTCTTAATAGAATGAACAAATTAATGGAACTAGCAAATCTTCAGCCCAAAAGACCTAAAGCCGCAAAGCCACGCCAAGTGAGAAAAAAACGAAAAATCAAGGATATATTGAATATACCTTCGTCAGCTTCACATAGGTAGTTTTGTGTATACTTATGAAATGAAGGGGTTTTTTGTAATGTGCTATGTTTATTAACTTAACTCAGATTATTCTTCAGGCTGGTAGCTTGTCATTTGATTTGGTTGATTACTGGGTTTCTGTTTGCCAAAATTGTAGTTGTTAAAACTCAGTGTTCTTTTCACATTAGCATCTTTTCTCTTATTAGGTAGGCATATTTTCTGCTTCTTACTAGTGATTGCAATTTCAACTTCATTTAACTCTTCTGCAAGTTACTTTTTTTCCCCCCAGAGTTTAAGTGAGAAGTTTTATTAGAAGGGGGGAGGGAAGAAGAAGTAAAGAGAAAAGAGATAAAGAGACATAGAGAGAGGACAGAAGAGAAGAGGGAGACAGGAAAAGTCCTGACTGCCCCAGGGGAACAGCAGGAAGGAGAGAGCAGGGAGAACAGGAAGAGAGCAGGAGAAGAGACTGAAGAGAGTGAAGAGCCTGAAAGAGAGCAAAGAGTGCAAGTTATGTTTTAATAGATGTAATCTTCTGTATAAATGATGACACCTTAGCCTCTCTTTGACATGGCAGTACCATGCTTTTAATTCTTATAGCAGCGCTAAATAGCAAGAGCACCCTAAGCTACATTTTCTAGTAGTTGTACTACACCATAAAAATGAGCAAATCAAGGCCAATAGTAATAATTATTTAATCCGTTATATTGAAAATATTATTTCATCATGCAGTCTGTATAAAAATGTTATTGAGCATTTAAGACATTTTTTCTTTACCGAAATTCATCAATTACATGTAGCTAGTGACTGAGTTGCATCCAGAGCACTGATTGCACAGTGTACAATATATATTGTTTTAAAAACTCTGCCAGGTGATGAGGTTTATGCCTGTAATCCTAGCACTTGGGAGAGCGACCTAGAATGATTTTAATTTCAAAGTAATTCTCTGCTACATACACCAAGCTTAAGCCTGTGTTAAATGGGCTGGCAAGGTGGTTTCATGGGTAAAGGTTCCTGTGGCCAATGGTAATGATTAGAGTTTGATGCTCAATATCCACATGGTGGAAGAAAGAGTTATCTACCACAGTTTGTCTTCTGACTAAAAATGTTCCACCACACATACAAAATAAATGTCAAATAAATAAAAGATACTCTTGTATACTTGACTGAACAAATGAACACCTCCTGGTAAATTTACTGCTTCAAATGAATACATAAATCCTAACTTATTCACTTACCGAATGTCTTTATTTAAAGTTAGAAGATCCTTTAACCTCAGTTTCCTTATCTGTAAATTAAGTGTTAACAGTACCATTACCAGCTGTTGAGCTTTGTTGAACTACTAAATCTAGACAGTTTGTGTAGTTCCTAAAATGGAGAGGGATGTCTTATCATCACAAGTTTTTTAAATTTAAAGAAAATCTGAAGAAATGTTCCTAAAATTTTATTTTAAATTATAATCTAATATTGTAATTGTTTATAAATACCAGTTTGCATCCTGTGCTGTTACCATCTGATGTATTTGACCAACCACAACCTGTAGGCAATAAGAAAATTGAATTCAATATATCTACCAACATGCCAGCAGCATTTCAGAAAGATTTGGAAAAGGAACAGAATAATGAAGAAAAAAATTCTGGTAAGAAAAATTTAGTTATTTCATACACTTAGCAGCCTTTTTATGTTAAAACCAAATTTTATAGTAGTGTTTGTCAACTCTCCTTGAAGTATGTAGGTACAGACTGAGGCTGGAGATCAGGTGGTAGAAAGAGTGTATGGAGATCTGGGTTTAGTCCCTAGTACTTCATAAACTGAGTTTGGTAATACAACCTTGGAATTCCAGTGCTGGGGAAGTAGAGGCAGGAGACTCAGAAGTTCAGTGACATCCTTGGCTAATGGTTGGAGGACAGCCTGGAATAAATGAGACTCTATCTGAAACATTAAAAGAAATTTGGTTAGGTGAATCTCAGTATCTCCATTTCAACTCTTATCTAAATAAAATTTAGGCTAAAAGGAAAGATTGTAACTGTGCTTTTTATTTTCTGGTATTTTGAGGTAAGAGTCTCAATGTATTCCAAAACAGGCTAAAACCTATGCACTTTCTCAAGTGTTAAAAATCAATGTTGGGAACCAACATTTCTGGCTGGTCTTGTTGATTTCTTCTCGTGATAACATCTACACGAAATTTTGGGGTTTTGCTGATTTTAGTGCAGATAATAATAGAATTTCTTATATTAACAACCTTTCATTTCCTGGTGTATAAGTTATTCTATGATTGTTTTTGAAGTTTTTTCCTTTTTTTGCCATTTATATAGTTTTTAATTGAGTACTTTATTTTAATTATCAACCACAATTTCCTTTCCCTCCTATTCCTCTTCTTTCCACCCCCATCCACTCCTCTCTCTCCATTTAGAAGGGCAAGGCCTCCCATGGGAGTCAACAAAGCATGGTATATCAGTATTCTATGATTATTAACAGAAATATATCATGTTTTAGAAAACAAGCCATGTTATCCTGGAGTTGTAGATTTCATACATACATACATACATACATACATACATACATACATAGATAGTTATAGATTTCTTACATATGTACATACATACACACACCACACACACACACACATACCACACAGAGGATTAATATATTATAATGCTTGGCTTGTTTAAGCTATTAACTTGTTAGTAGCAATAAATTTTTTTGTTTAAAAATAGTTTTAATTTTTATTTACATACGTGTATTTGTGAAGTCATATGGACACTTGAGTGAAGCTGCCTGCTGAGTGCAGCTGCCTGCTGAGGCCAGCATAGGGCATTAGAATCCCTGGAATGGAGTTACAGGGCGTGAACCATCTGTGTGGTGTGTTGGGAACTGAATTCTGAACCTCTACAAGAGCATTATATGCTTTTAACCACTGAGCCATTTGTCAGGCTTCATGGTGACATTCTTTAAATATATGATTCAGAAGTAATACAAGCTATTAGAAATTGAATCACAAATTTTTAAAAAATTAAATGTATTAAATCCACTTATCCTTTTGATTCCACAAGGGTGACTGATTTGTGATTGTGTATGTTATTCTATACTTTATGCTCTGAGCTTTGTGTTACTAACAGAATACTTCATATGACCTTGAAAGTGATACATTTATTTGGATCACAGTTTTAGAAGGTCAGCCCTGTTACTTTGGGTCCTATGAAAAAGCATGTGACAGAAAAAGCTAACTACTTAAATTATCGAGCAAAAACAGTATGAAGTATCGAGAAATTAGTATCGTAAAACTCAAGACCTTAAGTATCCTTCAAGGCCATATGTGAAGACTTTCTACTGGACACATCTCTTAAAGTTTCAAATCATCTTGCAATATTGCTATGCCAGAGATTAAGCCTTTAATATAAGGGCCTATAGGGGGCATTCCAGATTTGAAAAATGCCAGATGTTACATAGGAAAAATATGTTTCTCTTGCTGGAGTTAGTTACATAGCTATTTTCTCATTTAATGTCTAGTTACCTTTCATTCATATATTTTACTATAATTGATAAATATAAACTAAACACATTTATGGGATACAGTTTTGTGCTTGGCTAAAACATTTTATGCTTATGAAGGTCAGGCAGTCCATCATCCCATTCTGTGTCAGTTTTAAGCTTGTATTGTTGGATAGTGGAAATATGGCATCTTTTTTGCAGTTCATAGTTTTAGGCTGTAGATACTCTATTTGTAAAGTGGATTTTCTACATTAAGACTTTATGGAGGACTTCTGTTAGTACTTAACTTGTTTCATCCAACATTTTTTGCCAATTCTAGTCAGACAGTGCTGATGCTAAAATTCATATTTTTAAATTTTAGTATGTTGCTATCTACAGTAAAAAGTTAACTTGAAACATAGTTAGCTGATTTCTTAAGTATGAAATACTTGTCCATGAAGGATGAACATTATTACTTACTTTTCCTGGTTTTGTGGGGAGGTTAATGGAATGTTTTTGTATCCCCAAATGGAATTCTTTTGTTTTTTTCATTTTAGCCTAATGTGTTGACTCAAGTCTTTTCATTTATGTTGAAAGGAGTACATTGTTTAACAGTATTCTGATGTTGGATCATGAAGTTCTTATGACCATTGTAGATTATCTTGAGTCACTGTATTTTGTTTGAATACTATTAACTTTACAACGTGACTAATTGAACATTTATTTTAACATATAATTATTACTGTTTCTGAGTGGGTAGGTTAAGCAATCAATTGCTATATACCAATATACACATTCATATCTGACATTGAATATTTTCATCAGGTTCCCATTTGGTACATCAAACTGAGTATGCTAAAGCTTAAATCATTTTCTCCCTGTTTGCCACCTGAGTAGCACTGCAATGTAAGCATTTGGCTTTTAACTGTTGTCTATAGCTGCCTTCATGCTGCAGTAGCAGAACTTAATAGTCAAAACCAGTCTTTCCTTGGCCCATACAACCCTAAAACACTATTTTTTGGACAGGTATAGGAAAGATTGGCCTGCTTTTGTTCTGAGAACCAAGAAACATTAAAAATGACCAAATGACACTTTTGAAAACTGTAAATAGAAAACAGGAAAAGAAACTTGGGGGGGGGGAGGGTTGGCTTTGTTTGTTGTACTCTGTTTTTTTTTTTTTCCTTATGACTAATGTTAATGTTGAACTCTTAGATTCACCAGATACTGAACTTAATGATTCAAATACAGGATTTGGAAAAATTTTCCCCAAACCTAATTTGAACATCACAGAAGAAATTAAAGATGATTCTGATGAAATGCCTTCACAATGTATTTCTCGAAGGGAGTTGGAAAAGGGTCGAATTTCTAGAGAAGGTAATATAATGACGTAATCCAACTCATAGTCCATCTTATAGTTTGTGTTCTACTTCTGTTTTTCATGTCTTATTGGAATTAGAATACCCTATGGGTCATTTACATTAAGATAGACACTTTAGTGTCTCTCTGTGATTAGTTTATTGACACTTCTTTTAAAAAGTCACCTCGTACCGGGAAAGTTCTTACCATGCAGTGTTTTCAGTAAATATTTGTGTAATCAGTGAGTCCAAAAAGCCTGAAGTCATATATTCTGTATATAAAAGAGTTTTGACAAATGATTGTCATATAATATCTAAAGTAGATATAAGGTGATTATTAAAATTTTGGTAGTTTGATTCGGTTCATGTTTTAGAGCATTATAGTCCATGGTGGCAGAAGACATCATGATGGGAACAATTGAATGCTCATGTCTCGATCCACAAGCTATAGGAAGAGAGAGCGCACTAGGAACGGTACAGGTCTTTAAAATTCAGAGCCTGCTCCTAGTGGCACACCTCCTCCAAGGTCATACCTCCTAATCCTTCCCAAACAATTCTATTAACTAGGGATCAAATATTCAAACGTAGGAGCCCATACACCTCATTCATATTCAAAATTATTTTTTAATGTTTTAGTACTGATTTTTTTAATTTAATGATTTGTCATTGTTACAAATACATTTCTCTGCAATAATGAGGAATCAGCCTCTGGTTAATACTTTTGATTTAAAATCTGGTTTCTCAAGACAGATAACTGGCAGTAAATATGAAGAACTGTAATGGGGTTTGAGACCTTTGTCTCTGAAATTTCTGGTTATTGATTTTTGAATGCATTATTCCTACATTGGAATATGACAGTGACTAATGATTTGTAAAATGCATTTAAAGCAGAATAGTTATATACATGGTTATCGTCACATATTTAGGATTTTTAATAGAGTGGTTCCTCTTGAAGCACCCTTAATCTGGTTTGGGGTACAGACTTTAATTCTATATAATTCTATATAATTGGGAAATTTTAAGCAAAAGTTCAGTTTTCTTATATAATTCTTTAGATTTTAATGAATATTTCTATTTGTGTAATATTGTTAACTACTATCTGTTGCTAACATTTTCATAAAGCTTATTTTTGCCCTTTTAGCAGTTGCAACTGAATGTTTAATTTTTAAAAATCCCTGAAGGTATTTTATTTTGTATCTTTGTTTTGTTTTTTTCTTAAAAAGAAATGGAAACCCTTTCAGTTTTCAGAAGTTACGAACCTGGTGAACCAAACTGCCGAATTTATGTAAAGAATTTAGCTAGACATGTTCAAGAAAAGGTGAGGTAAAATTTGCAATTTGATTTTGTTATTTTACTTTTTACCCCTGGGTTTCTTATTTGTCTAATTTTTTTTATCCTTTTTTATCTTCTAGGACCTTAAATTTATATTTGGAAGATATGTTGACTTTTCTTCAGAAACACAGCGGATAATGTAAGTGGCAAACAGAATCAGTCTCAAATTTTGTGTTTTATTTGTTACTAATTCACCATGTTTTGCTATGCTTGATTTTTTTTTTCTTTAGTGCTAAAGCACACATGATGAATCATTTGCTTTCTTACATAAATGTCTTTATAGAAGTCTAGAACAGGAATAGATGAATTTCTATGTAAATGAGCAAATAGCATTTTTAATATTTTAAATCAGATCATATTTGTTACAGGTGTTCCCAATTTTTCCTAGTATAAGCTGATATAAACTGTATATAAAGGAATGCTTATTGTTATATTCTACTAAGTCTATTAATATATGCACATCTTCTAATAAGTTTTGTCTGAAATCCTTTGACACTAAAGTGTTGTTATTCAACTTTTTGTTTTTTAAGCATTGCCTGAGAATTACCTAGAAAACTTGGTTCAGTAGTTTTGTTGACCCATGCATTTCTAAAAATGACATAAGCTATTTAATTTTATCTTATTTCTAAGTGAAACCAATACTTTTAAAATCTTACCTGCCCACTGTGTCTTTTGGATATATTTTATGTTCATATATAAAAGATATATATTGTTAAGGTTATATTTTCAATGTTATCTTGCATATAATTACAGTTTGATGTGAAAGAAACTATTAATATTGTTTCTTCTGAGACAAGTAATGATGATTAAAAAAATTTCACTGCAAAAAATCGTGGTGCATTTTCACTTGCGTGTACATTTGTGTTCACAAACATACATAAGTGGGTGGGTACACCTGTTTGTGTGTATTTGCAATTCTTTGTTCGTCACACACTCTCCTTTTTTCATATTTGTTTGCCTGACAAGTGTTTTTATTGGTCTAATACTCACCAAGTTGTGAAGGTTGCTAGTCTGGCTGTTCATGAAATCAGAAGCCATCTGTTGCTACCTCCCTTCTTCTGCCGGTACAAGCATATATTGCTATGCCCAGCTTTTTGTTTTCTTAGTTAGTTTTGTTTGTTTGTGTTAATGAGAGTTTATGGGATTGAACTTGGGTTCTTGTTCAAGCAAAGTAGGCACTTTTCTGGCTTTGCTGTTACTAGCCTTATCAGTTGATACTTTATGTTTAGGGTTTTAAAATACTAAATATTTTCATTGTTAGTTGCAATTTCATTTTTATAAGTAGGTCTTAAAACCAGTTTTCTCTAAAAAAATGTTTATATGTGATCTTAATGTAGAGTAATAAGATATTGAGGAAGTAGACGAGGAATAATGTGTGACTTTCTACCTTTGTGTGGAAAAACCATTCTGTGTCCGTGTACCAGTAGCTCTGAGTAACTGCCGTAAAAGTCTGTAAACACTTACTATTGTAAATTCAACAGTGTAAGCCAATTTATGAGTTTGCTCTTATACTTCCTAGTTATATAATTTAAAATTGTGATGATAGCATAATTGTTGCTTGCTAAGAACAATACAGAATACAATTTTAAAATATCTAATTCAAAATTTTCTAATAGTACTGTTGTTAGTTTGAAATGGCAAATTTTTGGATTAAGACCCTTGACTTATTTATGTTTTTAAGATCAGTGTTCTTTAAATCATAATTACTTATTTAAAAAAAAAAATATGTACTTGTAGGTTTGATATTCGCTTGATGAAAGAAGGCCGCATGAAAGGACAAGCTTTCGTTGGACTTCCAAATGAAAAAGCAGCAGCTAAAGCCTTAAAAGAAGCTAATGGCTATGTTCTTTTTGGAAAACCCATGGTGGTTGTATCCTTTAAGCCAGGCCATTCTAATACCCTGGGGTTTTAGCAGTGGGATATATATAATTAATTTCAAGTTGCCATTTATGATATCAATAATTGTTATTCAAAGTTGTTACTTAGCAGCTAAATATGCCTTAGCTCAGTTAGATGACAACTTTTCTTAATCATTTATTGGAAGATAACGTAAGTTTAGCAATGTAAGGGAAAGTTCAGCCAAGTTTATATATTTATCCAGCTCTAAATTATTTCCTCATGTTAAGGTCAAGACACAATATCTAGAAATGTACTTGGAAGTCATTGGAAGGGATTCCACTGTAGTTTTATTGTAATTCACATTTCTGCTTTGGTATTTCAATGGCCAAAATCATTGCATAACTGTCTTATAGTAAATTCAACTTTTAAATTAGATATTAGTGACAGTACAGATAAGAAAAAGCAACAGTTTTTTAAAAGGCCAGATGTTTTTTTATTTCCTATCAATTGTGAATATTATGCAAGAGTTAGGAAAAGTAATTTTAATGCTATTTTCTATTCTGTATTAGATATTAGGACTGTATAGTATCTATTTTCATATAGTAGTTCCTGATGACTAAATCATGTGTGTTTATGATGGGAGCCTTAATTTTAACGCATTAGCAGTTTGCTCGATCTGCTAGACCAAAACAAGACTCTAAAGAAGGAAAACGGAAGTGATAGGAATGGGGAAAGGTAAGTGAAAAAAACAGTAAAAGATAAGAGAGTTTCTTGGAGTAAAAGTATGGAAACATAAAAGTCGTATGGGTTACTATTTCAGATATATTTTATGAATTTTTAAGAAAAATGTCTGTGTATGCAGTTCATTTTCATTAACTTCAAAATTATAACTAGAATAAAATCAGTTTGTAACAATTTTAGAGAATTTTATAGAGGGAATGTGTTGGTTGTTATTTTGTATATGTTTTCTGCTTGGAGATGTCTTTAATTCCTAACCTCTGTTGTAATCACTTAAGAGGGCTTGCTAAAAACTGATTGCTGGTCCTTCCCTCTAAGAGTTTCTATGTCAGTAGGTCTGAGGTGGGTGACAGATAGTCCCATTTTTCCTGTGATTAAGGAATTTCTCTGCATACAATAATTGCAGTGGTAAAAGGGACAATATCTGCAAAGCCACAAACAGCTGGGTATTCTTACTGGCATTGGACCAATTGCACAATCATAGGTGACAGTGAGGTGTTGAGTTCAGGGACCACACTGAAAACTGAAGGAAAATACTTACTAAAATTCTACAGTGCTACATATTTAGAATGATTAGCATTCTTTGTTAGCCTAAGGTTTTGTGGCATAATTTATTTGGAATGTTCACTACCTACTTAAGTGAATAAATGATTTCAAGTGGTGGAGTTAAAGACTTTAAGTTATGGTACTTTGAGAAATGAGTGGATTTTTTTGGGCTGTAAATTAGAGATATTTTATGTTTAGTTATTCTACTCTTACAACCTGGAAGAACATGAAATAATTTGTCAAAATTGCTATTTAGTTGGGAAAACTATCAAAAGAGAAAGATCTGCTTACTATTTAATCTCTGTGAGTTTATTGGAGTATTTAAGCTTGTTTTCAAAACAAATGTGTCATAAATACTGTGCAGAAAAAATGAAGAATTTCAGTCTGTATTTTAGTAAATCATTTATAAATTTATTGCTACCAGTTAGAAAAAAAAAAAAATAAACTACATTCTGCTGTTCTTCCTTAGAAGCATTCCTGCGTAAATACTGCTGTAATACTGTCATACAAGTGTATCCTTTCTTGTTGTATCCTTTTTGGGGCAGTGGCTTTGTTTTGTTTCATTTTGTTTTCTGGAAATACTTTACCTACCATCTATCATTTATCCAGATTAAGCAATACTTTTTTATATTATATTCAAGTGAAATATTTCTCAAGCTAGTTTTGTAGTCTGAACAAATATTTTACATGTATTTTAGATTCACTGTTTAATGTTTTATGTTATCATATAATCAAGGAGTTTTTTTCAGGGAAAGTTAGTGAATCAGGTCGCTTTGTATATATATATATGCTTTACTACAGAGTATGGTAGTATTTCTTCTACATGTGAATTTCCTCAACCTAATTCAGGAATACGCTTTCTGTTTCATGGTATATCCCTTTTTAAGTGTTGTTCTAGTTTAATTTTTGTTGCTGTGACAAATACTCTGACAAAAAGCCACTCAGAGAAGAAGGGGGGGTTATTTCTCTCATAATTCCAAGTAATAGTTTATTGTTGTGGGGAAGTCAAGGCATGAATTTAAAGTATAATATCCATAGTTGAGCAGAGAGAGAATAAATCCATAGAATCTTGATTGCTTAGTCTGACCTAGCTTTTTCCTTTCAAACACTGTTCAGTTTCCCATTTCCTATGGGATGGTGCTACCCAAAATTGGCTGGATCATACATCAGTTAACAATCAAGATCATATTATGCCCTCAGACCGACATAGTCTAGATAATGCTTAATTATGATCAGGTGATTAGGTGTTGTTTTCAGTTGACAGTTAAAGCTATCCAGCATAGTTTCTGTATATAAAATATTCTAAAATTTGACTGGGAAAAGATCTTTTTTCCTTAAGTAATAAATATATTGAAAAATAACTATTTTTATAAAAATCTCATAATGGAGTAACAGATAGCACATTGAAAGTGTAATTGAAATGTCTTTGACAAGTTGATTTCCTTTACTGTTGGTCTTTTCAAAACAAAAATGAAAAACTCAAAAACTAAATTTATATATATATATATGTATATATATAATTTTGATGGATGTACATATATACATATATATAAATTTGAAAAGAATAACAGATAAGACATGTTATACTTCAGATAGCTTAGTAAATTAACTTCTAGGAATAAGCACAATGATTTCAGGCTTTATGATGACTGAACTCTCTCAGAACAGTCAGTCTCAAATTTTCCTGCACATTTAAATCCTGAGAAGTCTAAAATATGTAATAATGAATTACCTGTTTTCAGTCTTAGAGTTTGATTCTAGTGTTATTAATATAGAGAGAACCACCAAGGAAGAGTTTCTATATATATTTCTAGACTCTTGTATTAGAGGTAATAAAAAAAATGCAAATCACTTGGAATAAAATCCAATAATACAGCTTAAAAGGATCTCTTAGTAATAGAAAGGACCACTGACATTTTTAGATGCTACTTTGTTAAAGTGACTGGCCATTGTGTACCAACGTAGTCAGTCATAATTTTTTTTTTGGTAGTAAAATAAAAACACTCAACATTTTGTGGGAAATGGTGCCAGTATAAATGACATAAAACTACTTAAAATTCTTTTTGTTATTCTAATAGTAGAAGCTGATGAAAATTGAGATTATAGCCTCTTAATATACACAATTAAAATAGTTTTAAGTATTATAAGTAGAAGTTATTAACATATTTTGTTGTGCTGACATGATTCACTAATTTTCTGCATATAAATATTTGGGCTTCTTAAAGTTAATGAATTGAATTATATTTTTAATGAACTTTTGTGGTGTTTTAGGTTCCTACTGAATTCTCTGTCTTTCAAGTACTGTGGAACTATGACAGAAGAAATTGATCATCAGGACTATGGAACTGTGCGTAACAACATTGAAAGCATTCAAAAATCTCTTTATCTTCACATTAGTGCTTGGAGATATTTTATAATAGTTTATTGCATATATAATAAATTATTTTCTTCTCAGCAGTGTCCATAATTTTTTATACTTGGTTTATATTTCTAAGTAAATGTAACAATGAATATGAGCTATTAAATGTTTTAGTACTAGATATACATTTTCCTTTATGATTCTTAATACTTTTATTTTCTAGTTTTACCTATGTACAATGCACTTTTTTTTTTCATGTGGGTGATAAAAGCATTTATTTTCTTTTTTTTGATATTTTTAAAATTTATTTTATATAACAAAGTCCATTTAAATGAAAACAAACATTTATAGACAATATTTGGGAATTTGGGCGTTGTTCTTTCCAAACTACTTCCTGCTGGTAAGGGGCGCTGTCATGGGGGATTCGAAGAAGATTCAGAAATCCTGGCTGGACAAAGCAGCCTTACAGATATACAATGCACTTTTACGCATAGTTTCAGAAGTATTACTTAGGTAGTTGTTTTAAGAAGAGTTTTCCCAGCTGGACAAAACAGCCCTACAGACTACAGCTAGGATAACTGGTAAAGAGAAAAACCTTTATAAAGCATTTATTTGATGGCAGTTGTGTCAAAAAGAAAAGTAGGAAAGAACAGAAAATGGTCAACACAAAAGTCAAGAACAAATTTAAATAGACATTTAATCCAAGGGCTAATGGGTGCAAGTTAGCACCCAAATGTTTTTTAATGTCACATGCAACTGGAAAATGTAAAGAGCTTAAAACTTATTATGACAGCATTTTCAAAAGACATGAAGGCAGACTCTTGAATGCACAAGGCAGAACTAGTCAGTTCAAATGTAGATGAACAAGTTCAGTTCAAGGTGATGTGAGAGTTGAGGACATAACTTTATGCTATATTGTGGTTCTCTTTCTAAAGGTACTTTATCAAAGGTATAGATCTTCATACCAGATGACAGATTTTATTGTATGAAATTTACATAATAAACTTCATTTGTCTTGTTCTATGTCATTTGTCATTTGTGTATATGCTTGTGATAAGTAGTATAAAATTTCTCATGGTAAGCTTTGATTATCATGAGATACCAAGCTATTACCAGATATTAACCATATAATTTTATCCTTTATTTAAAGTAATTCCCTTTAAAGAATGTCTTTCAATTGTTTTTCTAAATTTGTAATCTATTTTATGTGTGACTTGTCTTCAGTTTTGGTGAAGAGTAGGCCCATCACTTATTTTTATTTCTTTTTACTTGTAACTGTAGATATTAATACAGTTTTTTTTTGGTCTTAATTCTTGCCTTTCATACCTCCGAACCCAGAAGTACTAGCAGAACTGTCCACATAAATTTATAAAATATGTTACTACTATTGCTACTTATAGCCCCCACTTTTTTTTAAAAAAAATATTTTATGTACATGGTTTATCTTCATGCACGAGTTTATGCCAGAAGAGGGCATCAGATCCCATTATAGATGGTTCTGACCATACTATACTATGTGGTGGCTGGAACCTCTGGAAGAGCAGCCAGTGTTTTTAACCACTGAGCCATCTCTCCAGCCCTCCTACTACTTATTGCATGGCATATACCTGTGCAAGAAATACAGACATTCATGTAAAAGTTTATGCACTATGACTAAGTTGGATTTATCTGTATAGGGATGATTCATCATACTCAAATCAATAAATATAGTTAAACCATAAAGGCAAAAATCAGATGATTATAAGTACACACACAAAAGCCCTTGACAAAATCCAGTAGAATTTCATGAAAAAACCAGAATGTAAAACAGTGGAAAATACCTCAACAAATAAAAGCTACATGAGAAACCTCCAGCCAGCATCATAAGGAGAAAAGCTTGAATCAGTCAGTCCCACTGATGTCAGAAACAAAACAGGAGTTTCCACTATCCCTCTTTTTTTTTTTTTTTTTTTTTTAATATTGTGCTTGTAAGTAATAGCTGAGACAATAAGAGAAGAAAAGGATGTTAAAGGAATACAAGTAGGGAAACAATGAAACTTGCTCATTGCAGAAAGCATGATACTGTACAATAAAGATACCCCAAATTCCATGCAAAAACTTCCAGAAAGAGTACATCAGCAATGAGACAGGATACAGAATCAATTTGAACGAATCATTAGCTTTTCTATAGAGAAGGAGATCGTGGGCACACTTCCATTTACAGAAACCTATAAATAAATAAATAAAATAAGAATAAACAAAGCCATAGAAGTCTAGAAATTCTACAATAAGACACTAGAAAATGGAAAGGTGCCCAATGCTCATGGGTTAGTAGACTAAATATTTTGAAAATAAGATCCAAAGAAACCACTATCAGAAACTCCATCTTCCTCACTGAAATAGTAAAAGAGCGTAACAAGATTCATATGAAAACATATAAGAGCTGAGACAGCTGAAACAATCCTGAACGAAAATAAAAATTCTATAGGGATTACCTTTCCAGATTTTAAGATAGTTTATAGAGTTATAGTAATAACAATAGGATACTGGCACAAAAACAGGACGTTTAGACCCATGAAACAAAATTGAAGACTCAAACACAAGTTCACATAACTTTAGACATTTAATGTAAACTGGAGTAGGGAAAGTGTTTTAAACAAGGAATGCTGAAAAATACAGGATGTCTGTACAGAGAAGAATGGAATTAGACCCATATCTGTCACTTGCACAAAAAAAGTGAGTCCAAATGGATCGGGACCTAACACAAACCTGGAATATTGGAACTGCTGGAAGAAAGAATAGGCAGTACCCTTCATGATATAGGTGTAGAAAAGTACTTTCTATTTAAACTCCATGTGGCCAAAAGTTAAGTCCAATGACTTACTAACAGGATGTCATAAAACTAAAAATATGCACATTCAGCTAAAACAAAACAAATGAACTGGATGAAGAGAAAGCTCACACAATTAAGGAGTCTTCACCATCTATGTCAGACAAAAGGTTACTGTTCAGATTATAAAACTAATAAAACAACAAAACAATCAAATTACCTATTAAAAATGGACTTGGGACCCAAAAAAGAGATTTCTCAAAAGAAAAAATAAAGTCTTAATGTCTCAAAAACTGTTCATCAGCCCTAACAAATAGAAATATACAAATCAAAACAATTCTGAGATTTCATCTTACCACAGTGACCACGGCAATAAAACAATAAATGCTAAAAGGGTTGAGAGAAAAGGGCTGCCAATAGGCTGGTTGGATTGAAAACTGGTGCAGCCACTATGGAAACCAGTGTGGAGAATTCTCAAAAAGTTAAAAACAAATGTACTATATGTCCTAAGTATACCACTAATTGGCACAAGTCCAAAGGACTCAAATTCATGCTCCACGGTTGTATGCTTAGCCAAGTCATTGTTGCTGTATTCAAAATAGCTCAATGTACTTCAGCCAAGGAATGGAAAATTAAAATGTGCATATATACTATGGAATACTATTCATATAGAAAAAAAATGAAGCCTTGTAATTTTTAGGTAAATGGAAATAGAAAAGATCATATCGCGTGAAGTAACCCAGAATCAGAAAGGCATGTCATATGTTCTCTCTCTTTGGAGTCTCCTAGCTCTAAATCTTTAGATGTGAGTACATGTAATGGAGTAACTGTAGAAACCAGGAAATGAGACTACTGCCAGGGTGGGTGGCTGTGGGATCGATAGAGAATAATAGTGGGCTACAAATTATCTGGTGAAATGGGAGCAAAAGGAGGTTCTAATTAGGGAGGGAAATGGGAAAAAAGTAGGGGGAGAGATGATAGAATAACCATAATAATATCTGTAAAAGTTATATGCAATAATACTATTTTGAAAGCCCTATGATACATGTGTGTATAAATACACAGTGTTTCAATGAAGTTTGTTTTTGTTTTTGTTTTTGTTTTTTTTTTTTTTTTTCATTTAGAATGACAATGTTCACTCCAAGAGCCAAGTACCAGTTGTGGTGTTTTGAATGAAAATGTGAGAATGACTGGTTGGCTTTTATTTGGTGGATCTGTTTAAAAAGGATTAGGAGGCAAATGGCATTGTTGGAGAAGGTATGAAACTGGAAGTGGGCTTTGAGGTTTCAAAAGCTCACAGCATTCCCAGATCTCTCTCTACCGCCCTCTTCAACTTGTGGATTAGGATGTAAATTCTTAACTCCAGGGACATCCCTGTCTGCCATACTCCCTGGCATAATAGTCATGAGATCACCATCTGAAAGTATAAGCAAGAACCATATTACATATTTGCTTTTATAAGTTGCTTTAGTCATGAAGTCTTTACAGCAATAGAGAAGTAATTAAGCCAATCAATGAAAACAAAAACAAAATAAAACAAATCATCAACAACAACAAAACCCCCACCAAGAATGAGAATCCCTTTTGAGTGTTGGTTAGCGTTGTTAAAATAGGCTCAAAACACAGCCATGACCTCGAGAAATAAGAAGCAGGTTCTGCGGGGTGAAACTAGCAAGGAGAGCAACCCCTACTACAAGAACATTCATCTGGGTTTCATGGCACCCACAGCAGCCATCACGGGGACCTACATAAACAAGAAACATTTCACTGGTAATGACTCCATCCCAGGGAAGCTGCTGTGGGGTGGGGGGTGGGGTGGGGTATTAAGATAAAGATGCAGAGTACCATTGCCATCCATGGGCACCATCTCTGGTACATCCATAAGTACAATCACTTTGAGAACATCTCAAGAATATGTCAATGCACGTGATCCATTTTTTCAGGGATGTGCAGGTCAGCAACATTATCACCATGGGCCAATGCAAACTCCAGAGTAAGACAGTGCCCTTCAATGTGCTTGAGGTCACCAAGGCCACTGGTACTGAGAAGCAGTTTCAGAAGTTATGAGAGAATGCTGGCCAATTCTCCAGAACTTGATACGGTTATTCTCTAATTTACAGATCTAGTCCAAGGCCAAGGACCTGGTGGGGAAAAGAATGAGCCTCTGTTGGAAACAGAAGGCTGTAAGGGCCAGTTTATGTTTAAACAACATGGTGCATATGAGATGGGTGTCTGGAATAAGTCAGCTAAAATGTAGCTGACACAGGACATGGAGGAGTGGACAAT